TTGTATCTGCTTCTTCCGCCAATTCAATAGCTTTTTTCATTGCTTGTCGAACGGACACTCTATTTTTCAATTGTCCGGCAATAAATTCGGCAAGAATATTAGGATTGCTATAAGGTTTTTCAACTTTCGTGATAAGTATGTTCAATCTTCGGTTTCCACAATTCAATTCTTTTTGTAAAGTTATTTGTAATTCTTCCAGTCCTTCTGGTCTATTTTCGAGTAACAATTTTGGAAATCCCAGAAAGATTCTAACTTCAATTAGCTCAATTCGTTTGTAAATAGAGATACGTGCAAGTCCCTCGACACCAGAGGGTGATATCTTCATATTTTTTATGTAGTTTCTTATAAAACTTCGTATTTTTTGATCTTCTTGTAAACTTTTTGAATACGCTTTTGGTTGTGAAAACCAAATTGAATAATGATCTTGGTTTGTACCAAGTCTCAAACCAAGCGGATTTATTTTTTGTCCCATAAACCCCTCAGATTCAAATATAATTTAGTTAGAAGATTTTTTTCTTGTTGTGGCTCTACCAATTCATTAAAGTAGAACGAGAGGTCTGTTAGTACAATAGTGATGTGGCAGGTTGCCTTTTTTATTGGATAACTCCGGCCGCGAGCTCGCGGTTTTAATTTTTTTATAGCGGGTCTCTCATTTACTTCGGCTTTACTAATAAATAAATTTTCTTTCTTTGAAGTGGAAGTGGAACTGGCATTTGATGCTGCGAAACATACAAATTTAAAAATCGGATACGCGGCCCGATAGGGCAAAAGTTCTAATATAACAAGGGTTTCTTCATAGGAACGACCCCTAATTCGGTCAATTACCCTGCGGGCTTTATCAGCCGATATAGGGAAATTTTGGCTGAACACATAGGTTTCTGGTTTTGTTTTCTTTGTCATCTGGTTGCCTCTTACTAAATTGAAATCAATTTGTAGAATGATTTTTTAATTATTATTAAAATAAAATTCATCGACGAGATTTATTATCACCTTTTTCATGCCCTCGGAAATTTAATGTGGCTGCGAATTCTCCCAATTTATGGCCTACCATATCATCCATTATATAAATAGGTAAATGCTCTTTTCCATTATGGATAGCAATAGTATGTCCAATCATTATTGGGATAATTGTAGATCCCCGGGACCAAGTTATTATTATTTCTTTTTGAGCCTTTCTGTTCAGTTTATTTATTTTTTTTAATAAATTATTGGCGACGAATGGATTTTTTTTTAGTAAATATGTCATGCTTTTTTCCTCATTTCTTTATTTATCATATAATTTTCCCTGCTAGTTTTAGTTTACCTAGTTGTTTAGTTCCTCCCCCAGAGTTACATACGATGACGAAGAATAAACTTATTGCTGTATTTATTTTTGCGTCTAGTTTTTTTTCCAAGTGCAGGATATCCCCAGGGGGTTTTAGGTTGGTTTCTACCAATAGGTGCTCGACCTTCACCGCCTCCGTGAGGGTGGTCTATTGGGTTCATAACTAGCCCTCTTACGATAGGACGTTTACCTAGCCACCGTTTAACTCCCGCTTTGCCTAAGCTTTTTTGATTCACCCCAATATTACCTACTTGTCCGACTGTTGCTGAACATTGTTTGGATATAAAACGTAGTTCTCCAGACGGTAATTTTAGGGTGGCAGATTGACCCTCTTTTGCAATCAGTTTAGCCGCAGCACCTGCTGCGCGAGCTAATTGTCCACCTTTTCCGCGTGTGATTTCTAGGTTATGCAGAGATGTACCCAAAGGTATTTCGTTTAAAGGTAATGAATTGCCTATTTTGATGGAAACTTCTGGACCAGAAATTATTGTATCTCCAATTAGAGCCCCGCGAGGATGTAAAATATACCACTTTTCACCATTTACATAATGTATGAGACAGATGTATGCGTTTCTATTAGGGTCATATTCTATCGTTTTTATTTTACCAGATATATCTTTTTCATTCCTTTTAAAGTTGATTTTACGACATAAGCGTTTATGACCTCCTCCTCGATGTCTTATAGTGATAATTCCGTTGGCATTACGACCTTTACCACAATTACGTTTTCCAGAGATCAAATTTTTGGGCTTCGCTTGACTCGTTCCGTTTCTAGTGAGTGTGCTTGTAGGCTCAATTTTGTATAATTTTATTATCATAATATTTAAGTAATTTTCTTCTTAATTTTTCATTTCAGTTTTTCTTTTTTACTATATCTCAGGGATATTCGCCCCTAATCCCATAGATAACTCGTGGAGATTTCTTATTTTTAACAANTGTTGGTTGGGGACATTACATTAATCCTAATTTGTTTTGTCCCTAAGCTATTTCCTAGAAATTCATTTAAGTTGTTTATTATAAAATGAGAAAAATCCCTCCCCATTTTATGAGTGAGTTTCGGCCATCACAAGGAAGAGAGAAGAAAAATCCTATTTTGTGTTCAAAGTTATTTTTCTAAAGTGTTAGAAATATACACAAAATATTATAAAGAAATATTTATAAGATAAATATTTTACTATATATTTATTACTCCCAAAGTAGTATTATTATAGTTTTTACTATCCTATATTAAACATGCTAGCACAAGTTTAATCTTGGACTCCGGAGCAAGTTCGTGTGGATACGTTGGAGGCTTCATACGTTTGGCGCTACGTTCATCTCCTCAAAACCATCCCCGACCGTTCCTCCGTTCTCCGTTTTCACCGTTAAGGTAAATTTCTTACTATAGCTAGTAATTTACGTAAGTTGTTCTTGGGTGGAATCGAGTTTTGGACTATCAATTTTTGTTTTCCACTGTGTTATCCAAGCCTCGTTTCCCAACAGTGGTATCAGAGCTGGCTTACGAAGTTACTAGTTTAGTAGTTTTTACCGTTATTGTTCTTGTAGATTAGTCAATAAATTTTGGAGACAAACATTTATCCCATTAAAAATTTAATTAGGTGGCCATATTTAGATACTGGACCTAATACAATTTTGTTCAGTAATTTTCGGAATTATTGTTTGGGGTATTTTTATATTATTCTTATTAAGTAGTTTATGTGTAGAATACTTGTTATTTGTGCCATAAATACTTAATATTTATGAAAATTAGATTTTATATTTTCTGGGAAGTATTTGACATGTCAATATAACTCAGAAATTTTAAAATCGATTTTTGGAATTAATTTCCTATTTGTCTATTTTTAAATTCGTTTATTGAATAGAAAATGGGAAAACTTATTTTTGACGATCAAAAATTAATTTTAATTCATAATAAGTTGCGACCAGAGATTTTAAGCTTGTATAAAAATTTTCATAATTTGTAAACACGTAAAAATATTTATTTTGTATTTTTGAAGTAATTGGATCGGTACTATTCACTAGTCCGATTTTTAATTATTTTAAATTGCAAAATTAATATTTTAAATTCTAAAAAAATCATATTCTAGTTCTGGAACTTATTTTTGACTTGGAGAATAAATTTTGATATTTTTGGAATTTCGAAATATATTTTCACAATTTAATTTCGGTTTTCTATCTTTGAAAAATGGTATTCAAAATTTTAAATTTTATTCATTCTGGAATTTTAGGATTTCCAGATTAATAAAGTTTACTGGGAGTCTCCAATAACTATTTGCTAATTTAGAAAACATATATATATTTTCGTATTTAATAAAGTTTACTGGGAGTCCCCAATTTAAATTTTCGTATTTAAAATATATATATATATATATATATATATATATATATATATATATATATATATATATATATATATTATTGCACTTTAATAAAGGGGACAAGTTTGTCCAAAGCAATTACAGCAGAGATAGACTTAGGAAGTGAGGAAAAACTGTCAAAGAAAATACAATGAGTGCTCTGTGCTCCATGTTTTGCAAGAAGGTCAGCTGCACCATTGGCTTCTCTAAGGGTGTGGGTGATGCGAAGATAAAGATGATGTATCTTGTCCATGATGAATGAAAGAGCATTTGACGTCGGAGAATGTCTCAGCTTTGAGAGGAGTTCCATGCTGTCAGTTTCTACTATCATGTTGGGGAAGGGATAAACGCTTAGGGATTGCATCATTGCAAGGGTTTCTATGGAAAGTGGTGAGGTTTTTGGAAGGGGGAAGGTTATACCGTGGACGAAGTTGCCCTGGTGATCTCTTAAAACAGCTCCGCCACCGCATCCACGAGTGCTTGCACTACCATCCACGTTAAGCTTGAGTTGATAGGGGTTTGGAGTGATCCAACGAATAAGCTTGAATGAGGTGAGAGGTTTCCGGTGGAGTGAGGGTTGGAGAATGGTGCCTTTGTTTGCAAGTGACCATGCATTGAGGGTGTGTTTGATTACTTCAAGAGTTTTCTCTGGTTTAAATGTTTCTTGGTTCAGTTTCACCCGGTTATAAGTCTTCCACAGCTCCCACGTAATAATGGATGGGATAATGCGTTTGACCTGGAAGAGATGATCAGATGGAGACATGGATAGCCACCACATGACTAAGTTGTGTTGGAAGGACGAATTGGAGATCGTAGACAGGTGGAGTAGTTGTCCGAGATTATTCCAGATGCTACTAGCTTTGGGACAGAGCATAAGGCAATGGAAATCTGATTCTCTTTCTTGCGCGCAGAACATGCAGATGGAGGGGAGGCTGAAGCCCAGCTTTTGGAGGTTATTAGCGAAGGGGGTGGCTTTGTGTAGGGTTTTCCAAAGGAACAGGTTAGCTTTTGGAATTCCTTTCTTGGGCCAGGGGATCTTTGGAGTGAGCATGGAAGGGCCAGTTTCCTGTAGCTTGAGGGAGACATTTTTAAGGGAGAAAGTGCCCTGGGTCCCTAACTCCCAGGTGAGCATGCCATTGTTGAAGTTAGAATTTTCTTTGCAGAAATCATCAACTTGGCATATTCTCTTCCAAGACGGGCTGTCAATGATAGTTGTGGTGAAAGAACCACTCCGATGATAGCTTTGTTTCATGAAGGAAACCCAGGGAGACAAGGTGAACTGATATTTCCACCAGATCTTGCACCCAAAAGAATTTTGAAGAGTGTGTAGGTTTGGGATTCCTAGGCCCCCTTCCTCAAGTGGTTTACAAATTTGTTTCCATGCCACCCATGCATGCTTGGACCCTTCAGCATTTTTTCCCCAAAAGAATTGACAGAGTTTGCCTTCGATCAAGGAGATGATCGATTCAGGAAGTTTAGAGGAGGACATGGTGTGAAGAGGGAGAGTGGAGAGGACATGTTTGATGAGTGTAAGTCTTCCTGCTTGGGAAAGAGTGTGCATTTTCCAGCTGGATAATTTGAGATCAAATTTCCTGAGGAGATCCTGGCAGTATTTGGACCTATTGATCCCTTTGTATAGGGGGACGCCACGGTAGGTTATGGGTAGGGGGGCTACTTTTATCCCCAGGCAGTTTGTCTCTTATAGTTGGTGCCGCCGCGCATGCAGCCATCTTTATGGTACGAGACTATGATCCAACTAATCGATATAATGATTTGTTGGATCGTGTCCTTCGACATCGTGATGCAATTATCTCACATCTCAACTGGGTATGTATGTTTCTAGGTTTTCACAGTTTTGGTTTGTATATTCATAATGATACGATGAGTGCTTTAGGGAGGACGAATTGCTCAGGTTCCCGTCGGTGACGCCTATTTGGGTCGTGCTATAAATGCCCTGGCTACCCCAATTGATGGTAGGGGAGAAATCGCTACCTTAGGACCGTTATAGTTACGGCCGCCGTTTACTGGGGCTTCGGTCGCTGTCGCTGGCTCCCCCCTTGAAAGAGTGCGTAATAGCTCACTGATCGAGCGCTCTTGCGCCGAAGATGCACGGGGCTAAGCGGTTCTCTGTTCTCTGTCAACTCATTTGAAACGAAATGAGTTTCACATAGTGAAACGAAATGAGTTGAACTATGTTCAACGAATCTCTGTTCTTTGTTCTCCTACCTCCTTTAGCACTGAGCGGTCATTTAGGGGCCTTAGCTGGTGATCCGGGCTGTTTCCCTCTCGACGATGAAGCTTATCCCCCATCGTCTCACTGGCCGACCTTGACCCCCTCTTAGTTTTTTATTACACCGCCCGTCACACTATGGGAGCTGGCCATGCCCGAAGTCGTTACCTTAACCGCAAGGAGGGGGATGCCGAAGGCAGGGCTAGTGACTGGAGTGAAGTCGTACCCCTTTGGTATGAATAGTTTATCAGTCTGGGCATGGATGTTTTTATTTGGACATCTTGTTTGGGCGACTGGATTTATGGAACTTTTTTTCTTAATTCTTCTTCAAAACTTATTTTCTGGTTGCCAATTGGGTTTGCTTTAAAAAGTTGAGTGTTGGTATTCTTTTCTAAGACTGAGACAGCTTACCCCTTTTAGGCCGTTTTTGTCAGATTGCTAACAATATTTTCCCTGCTTAATGAATAACCTTTTGGTACTAGGACTAATAGGGTATCTAATCCCATTTGCTCCCCTAGCTTTCGTCTCTCAGTGTCAGTGTCGGCCCCCAGTTCAAATCTGGTTCCTGACACACAAATTGTTTTTTAAGTAGCTTTTTTTTAAGACTAGAACCCTCTTTTGATAAGGTTCTCTATAAGCACAGGCACTCTTTGTGCTCGGTTTCTTTCATTCTAAATCAAGGAACATTACACGCCCTTGTATAATGCTCAAGGCTCTCGGCTGAGTAGCAGGAGCAACTTTTAATTTATTATGAGCCCAAACAATGGATTCAATCAATTCTTGCCAATAACCACGTCCGTGATCCAGTTTAATAGATTCTCCCTCTGAAACAAGCGGTTCTAGGCCAGGAGGAAGAAGATTTACGACCTCATTACTATCCGATCCATCTTTAATGATTATTTCATAACCACCTTTTTCATTTCGTATTATTTTTTTAACCCTGCCGGATGCTGTGGCGTTAAAAACTGTATTGTTACTTTTGCTACCATCAGGATAAATCTGACCTCGTCCCCTGTTTCCACCTACTCACAATGCGAATAAAATAAACTCAGATCAAGTATGAGTTGGCGATCAGAAAAGTGGTGGTTATTAAAAAAAATACATAGGTTTTATGGAAATCGGAACAAACAAAAGTTTAATAACGAAAGATCAACTTCATGAATTAACCCTAAATCTCCTTAATTTTGTATTTATTATTTTCGAGATGGAGTAAACCCATATCCCTTTGGACAATGTTAAATACACAATTTCGCTATCACTCCTTACCATAAATCGATTAGATTTCACCGATCCCAATAACAAAAAGACCTGACTTGAACGACCCTCTAAGCCTCCATACATCGTCTTACGACTTTGCGGAGAGCTGTGTTTTTGGTAAACAGTCGCCCGGGCCTGGTCACTGCGACCCCCTTCTCTTTGTGAGGAGGCACCCCTTCTCCCGAAGTTACGGGGCTATTTTGCCGAGTTCACTCAAAATTAAAATATTTGACATTTGAATATTCGGTAATATTCCAATTTGTCCACTACTGGTAGATAAAATGATTTGTTCAACTTCCCTTTTTATTAATTCCAGGGTTTCTCTGAATTTG